TATATATATATAATCTGTATCCTAGAAGGTTTATACACCTTGGTTCTATTAGCCATGTGTCAGAGAAACAGGACTGAAATTTCAAATTCCAACTTCCTATGTGAGTTCTCAAAATAAATTTTTCATTAAAAAAAACCCACAGGTTACACAGTGCTTCCCAATATACACTCAGGATTTGAAAGAGTTGTTCTTCCACTACACCCATCAGAAGTGTTGGGCTGAATTAACATCACATTCATAGACATGCTTCTTTTAGAGAATAGTTCCCATGCGTTCAGGGAATTAATACAATAGTTTTCCTTTAATTCTCCATTCAGGGAGTCCCTGTGCCTTGCTCTGGACCTCTCAGCGGGCAAAGCGAGAAACTTACTTGGCTTTGAATGTGCTCTTTTAGATGTGGGCCCCTCTGTGACAGAATCGGGAGGTCGACGAGCTAACTGCAATGCAGTTGAGTTGTTCCTGTTAGTGTTTTGGGACTCAACATTTGTGACAGCTTCATTCTGTGGCTCGGTACCTGGCTTTGTGCCTGTCTTTCTTTTCTGCTTTTGGGACGCAGAAGTGCTTGAAGTCCAGGTAGGAGGCAAAGCAGAGGTAGTGGTAGAGGAGTCCTGACTTGAACAAACTTCTGAAGATTGTATCACACTGTCACTGGCAACTTTACAACATGGGGCATTCTCTTCATGCCCCACAGCTTGCTTGGACATGGACTGGGGCAGCGTTACACTGCAGCCTTGCATTTGAGCCCCATTCGTTTGCGAGTAGACATTGCTGACCTTGGTGACCTTGTGTTGGCCATTGTTGTTACAAACCTTATACCGGATCATTAGAATGATGATGAAAACCAGCACGGATGCTACAATGATCCCACCGATAATAATAATCATGGTGCCCCCCAGGAACTGGGACTGCATGAAGTGGCACCGCACGTAATCCTGTTCCGTGGTAAACTGGATGCAGCCCACCACTCTTGTGGCAGTGAGGGAAGTGATGCCATCATCATATATTGCCAAGACACACAAGTCATACATAGTTCCAGCAGCCAGGTTATTGACAAGAAAAGTTTTGCTCGTAGGAGGTATCATTCTGAGGGACAATGGAATTTGTGTTAATATTGAAAAGAAAAAACATATATACACACAGAGTCATTATGACTTCAGCTCTGTTTCATTTCAGCGCTCATTAAGATAAGCCCAATAATAACAGGTATGAAATATGGGAAAATGATCTAATCTTATCCCGGTTAAAATGGCTAAAAGTTAATGCTGTATTCTGCACCATGTCTTTGAAGAGCTTATCACTGACATTGCTTGGAAAAGCAGAAGTCCAAATAAAAGCCACTGCTGAGAAATAACTTATGACAAATTGCTTTTGAAAGGTGTGACTGTGACATTATCAGACTGCTAAGCAAATCCATTTAGCACTTACAACACCTCTGTGACTAAAAGCCAATTTGAAGGAAGGGAAAACACTGACAGTCACATTAGAAACCAGAATGGAAATGCATTTTGAAGTGTTTATTTTCCAAATCAGTTAAAAGCTGCTATGGAATGGCACCCGATAAAACTATCTTTAATAACTAAGATCATTACCAACATTAAAATATTTTTAGAAATCTCACCCATCTCTTAATCCTTCAAAACTTGGTTCCCTGTATGTTTTTATCTGAATATGAGGTTGATGAAAATGTCTGAGTGATATCCTATAAACATGAACAGGGCAAGGCTTTTACCAGAGCATAAATTCCTTGACCTCTCCATTATGGGATGATGGAGTTACTTTCAAAACAGTTTCTAAAATTTGATGAGTGTATAGATATCTCTGAATCCATTGCATTACAAAAGTCTTCTGTAGAAGACTTTTCCACTAACTCAGTAGTAAGTTACACTATGACCAAAACTTACATTTTTTGGGGGAAAAAAGGCTTACAACTCTATCTTTTCCTAAAAGAGAATTTTGGAAAAACTTGGCAATACCAACATGTTATACAACCTAAGCAATGCTGTCTAACTGTACCAGGAAATTCTTAGGCCAGAGTATGAATTTGTAATTGAAATCACCACCATTTAGTGAGTGCTAATAAATAACAGGCATTACTAAGCATTTTATATCCACTACAATTAAATTTTTACAATGACTGTATGAGGTAGGCATTATCACAATTTTACACATGATAAACATTTGGGACCGGATTTCAAGCCATTTCCTTAAATAGAACTTAATTGTCATGGCAGGGTTAAAATCTTGGAATTTAGAAAATAGAAGCTAACCTATTTCACAGAGTTAATGTTTAAAACATATAGAATGTGTAGTAGCTACAGGAAGGTAAGGGGATAGAGGTGGATGCTTGTCTTCACTGTGGGTTAAATAACTCATAGCTCAGGTGAAGAGCTGAGTATAACAAAGACCCAAACTACTTTATATTAACATACATGAACCATAGTCTGTATCCCATAAATTTAGCAATAAGAGAAATATTAGAAACCATTTACTCTAATCTCTTCCTTTTAAAGATGAGGAAATGAAAACTCAGCCAGGGAGAACCTTGCCCAGGATTGATCACATGGCTAGCTGGGCTAGTTTTGTTTTTCCTATCAGCTTATGCTCACTTGAAAAAACTTATCTCATTTCCATACATGAGTGAAAACCAAATTATCTTCAAGAATTCACATAGGTATAAAAGGACTGAGTTGATCTGATTTCACAAAAGGTATATTTCAAAGCCATGATTTTGCATCGTTTCCCAGGATTAATAAAAATCTATCATGAGTGAAATTATATGGAGGGATAAAAAGGTATATTTCCAACTGAAAATTGGACAAGATGTGACTATAAATCAATGAGGCTGAACTTTAGAAAAACATACCAGAAATTCTTTAGTCAGATGCAAATTCTCTCCATCAATGTCCTTATAGGAGATTAAATATGTAGCTTCAGTGATACTCTCACTGCTCAAAATATTTATAAAGTCTCCCTTTGGAACTGTCTTAAGAACCAGTGTATATGAGACAACACACACACATACACATAAGTCAATCACTCAAAATATCAGTCTCATTATTTTATAGTTACATCCTATTTTTGACCAAAAATGGCAATACCCATCTTGATCACCCACCTTATTCATAAGACTTGGCTCCAAATGGCTTTTGCTTGTTTCCAAAATTCAAATTCACCCTCAAAAGACGATGATTTGCCACCACTGAGGATATTCAAAATAGTATGACGAAGGTTCTAAAGATAATTCCAAAAGTGCTTTGAGCAATGGCAGCATCATTGGGATAATGATAGCCTCCCAACATGACTTCCTTGAAGGAAAGAACACTCATATGGATATGTAAGTTCTGGTATGTTTTTTGACTTTTTAAAATAAATCAATCTTGTTCTCTGATAGTCACATCTCTTAGAGGAGGGGGAAAAAGTAAGCATAATATTAGATATAAATGTGAACTCTCTAAAAATAACACCATTCAAAATAGTTTCCCACATGAATTCATCTTTCACAAGCCTCACATTTTAAGCCTTACACTTAAAAATGAAGTAATATAATTACAATATAGTGTAGCACTGACGATTAAAAATATCAGAGTGCCGTAAGAAGCCCTCCACTAAGATGCATGGCAAGTATACAAATTTGCTTAATTTTCCTTACCTGTAAACAAGGGTGTCATCGTAAGTACCATTGTACTGGATTTGAAACATACGTATTCCAGGAATATTTCTTTGAAAATTAAATTTAAGTAATGCCGTAGACGATGTTGCTTCTGCCACCACAATTTTATCTTGACTCATCTTGGTATCACCATTACTAGTGCTTGTATTAGAACCCGACTTAGTAGAAGTTGAAATATCTGAAGAACCAGGGTCAGGCTCATGGATGTGGTTTGTACTGTTCAGTAAGTGAGGGAGCTTAATTATGTGAAGATCCACTGTTTGTGTGGCTTCCCCTGCAGGATTGGAAGCAATGCAGGTAAAAGCACCTGTGTCCTTTACAGTTGTTATCATGATGTCAAGTGTTCCGTTATCGTACACCAGAGATCTTGTTGCATTTGAAATCAGCTTCCCTTCAGGAGAAATCCAGTGAATTGCAGGTTCGGGGTCTCCCCTGGCTTTGCACCTCAGGGTTGCCCTTTGACCCTCCAGGACTCTCATCTCATGTGTGTGACGAGTAATGAGAGGAGGCTCACACAGAAACTCTTCCTCGGGAATTGACCAAAAATAGCGACCAGTTAAAAGCGCTGGAGAAGCACAGGTCTCTAGGTCGTCTTCTCTGGACAGACGCCTCAACCACAACAATTCACAATTGCAATGCAAAGGGTTTCCACCAAAGCTTAATGCAAAAGTAGACGGGTTTATGATTCCTGAGGTCACGAGTACCTGAGCTCGCTGAAAGAGAGGGTCAGGCGGTAGCTTCTGCAATTTATTTGATGTTACGTCTAGCCGAGTCATCTTGTGCAAGTGGGAGAAAGTCCCCTTAGGAATGTTATCAATCATATTGTGATCCAAACTAAGGGTGTGCAAGCTAACCATCTTCTCCACAGCATCCCAAGGAATTGTTTCTAAATTATTATAGGACAGATCCAGCTCCTCAAGGGCAAAGACATCATCAAATGCTGTAGATGAAATTAAAGTCAGCTGATTGTTGTTCAGTATCAAATGGTGGAGATTGGAAAGCCCACTGAACATATCATTTGTAATTTTAGTCAATCTGTTGCTATTCAAATGCAATGCCCTCAGATTTCGTAAGTCAGCAAAAGCATGCGGTGTAATAAAACTTATTGTATTCCTGGATAGAGTCAGGTCCACCAAGCTGGTCATATTGGCAAAATCTTTCCTCTTAATATTTGTAACAAAATTGTCTGCCAAGCGCAGTTCCACAGTTCTTCTGTCAATGTTTGGTGGGACAAATAAAAGCCCTTTCTTGGCACAAAGGGTGGCAAGATTAGGAGACAGAATCTGACAGACACAGCGCTTTGGACAGATCTGAGCTCTCACTGCTATGCCAATGAAAAACAGATAAAAAAGGAATTTTTCCATTGTAGATCAGATTTAAGGGCCTGTAAGGAAAGACAAAATGTACAGTTAGCATTTAATCATTTCACCAAGTTCGTTTTCCTATTAGAATAATCTTTTTTTAATCCAAATTGAAACAGAAACAATTTATTAATTTATTAATAATTTAATAACAAACAACTTATTAATAAGTATGAACTATCTACTCTGGACCTGAGGATATTTTGGACACTAAAATAAAAATATACCATTCATGGCCTCATGGGATTTACAATCAAATGTGAAAAAGAAGTCAATAGATTACTATAATTCTATAAATTAAGTGTTATTTTTGAAATATGGTCGGGGTACTCCCTGGGTGCGCACAAAGAGGTATTTAACTCAAATTGTAGTGTAGGAGTTCTGGAAAACATCCCTTAGACCCCAAAAGACATAAGTTCAAAAGCTTAGACATATTTAAGGATTTGCAAGTATGTCAATAACAAATAAGAGACAATATTTGTTATTGTTAACCTTGTGACATTATTAGTATACATTAATTTTTATTAAATTTTATTCATCTTTATGAGTTATATTAACCATAGCACAACCTTTACATTTTAACAGTCATACAAAATCTTAGTCTCAAAAATAGAAATGCTGAAAATTTACCACAAATGCTCTGAGCTTCTATAATATTAGAAAATTTTATTTGCTATAAACATCCATTTTTGAAGATAAGTTATCAAAATACTTGGCAGTGAATCCAAAAAGATGTCATATTCCATTTCCTTTTTCTTAAAATCTTAATGAATTTATATTTATCCAAATTTAATTTAAAAGAACCTGATGCTTTCATTTTCAAGTTTGATCTTAAGTATTTTCTCTTGAAATTAATGCTCAAAACCAAAAACATATTAATATATACTAGGGGCCCGGTGCACGAAATTCGTGCACTGGGTGTGGGGGTGCGGGGGAGTGTCCCTCAGCCCAGCCTGCCCCCTCTCACATACTGGGAGCCCTCAGGCGTTGACCCCCATCCCCCTCCAATCGCAGGGGACCCTCATTTCCCCCTATCACTGGTTCTGCCCCCCGCCCAGGCCTGATGTCTCTGGCCCAGGCGTCAGGCCTGGGCAGGGGACCCCCAGCCCCCTCCGATTGTTGGCTCTGCCCCTTGCCCAGGCCTGATGCCTCCGCCAGAGGTGTCAGGCTTGGACAGGGGACCCCCATCTCCCCCCGATCACTGGCTCTGACCCCCGCCCAGGCCTGAGGCCTCTGGCCCAGGAATCAGACCTGGGCAGGGGACCCCCATCTCCCTCAGATCACTTTCTCCACCCCCGCCCATCAGGCCTGGGCAAGGGGACCATCATATCCCCCAATCCCCGGCTCCGCCCCCCCCCGCCCAGGCCTGATGCCTTGGCCAGAGGAGTTGACCCTCATCACCCTCCGATCACCAATCACCAGATCGGCCCCTTGACCAGGCCGGAGGCCTCCGGCAGAGGTGTCAGGCCTGGGCAGGGGACCCCCAGCTCCCGGAGGGCA